GCAATCGGAGGGGGAGATGAACCATGAGAGACGATGGACTCTGAAAAACAAACTGAGGGTTCTAGAAGGGAGGGGGTGGGAGGATGGGTTAGCCTGGTGATGCACGTTCTGCATGGAGCACTGGGTGTTATGCACAAACAATGAATCATGGAACAGTACATCAAAAACTAATGATGTAATGTATGGTGATTAACATAACAATAAAAATTTAAAAAAAAATCCTCTCAGCCTCACCTTTCTCTCTTCCAGCACCCTCTGCAGTGCTCAGCTCTGTATGGACTCTGGTTAGCTTTATGCAGGTGCAACCCTAGAGTGATTCACCTCACACCACGTGCCTCCTGCCTCCTGCCTCCTTCTGCAGGGACATCTCCTACATCCACACAGGTGCGACCCAGAAGCGCAGAGTGAACCCACGGAGAATGGTATCCATTAGACCAAACAACCCCTCACTGATAGCACAGACCGAAATATATTTAATTCTCCCTCCTTTCTTTTCTATGCCCCATGCCCCTGCCTCCTCCCTCCATGGCACCACACTCCCAAGTTAAGCCCGCACACACAACCCTTTGCTTATGCTTTCCATGGGACCGGACTAAGATAAAAATGATAGTGGTAACCCCTGTGCAGGGGCACAGTTAGCCCTACTGCTCACCAGGGAAGGTGGATAAAGGTGGCACTTTGTTCTTTGGTTCCCGAAAAGGCAAATGTCCTTGCCCTCTCATTGTATAGATCTGAAAAGGGGGAAAGGAGACAGTAGTCCCCGGTGCTCAAGGTGGGAGAGAAGGTTAAATCCTGACCCAGGGCTCCTGGGCAAAGACTGTATCAGGAATGGAAGACCCCTCTGCACTTGACTGAGCTCAGCCAAGGGTCCCTAGGACTATGGCTTTCAGCATTCAGCTCTTTCCAGTGGACTGGAAGGAAAACTACTTGACCTTCAAGCTGCGTACCTCCAGAAAAGAAAGCAAGGGAGCAGGTCCTGGTGCAGCACCTCTGATGGCCACAAGGACTGTGCTCTGTGGCAGCCCTATGCTCTTGCAATAAGCCAACACAAGAGCAGAAGGCTTGGAATCTTGAGTGTCCCAGCCAGGAAGCCAGACTAACATGCCCCGTGCCCCCTGCAACACAGGTACACACACCCCTTATGGACTGCTGTGCTGTCTAATCAGGTAACCACTAGACATATGTGGCTATTTAAATAGACTAATTAAAACAAAACAGTCAGCCACACGATTGCATTAGCCACATTTCAATGTTCAATGGCAAGAAGGTGGCCAGTGGCTACTATATTGAAAAGGGCAGAAGAGACCACTGTCATTATGGCAGAAAGTTGTATTGGAGGTGCTGCTCTGGAGTCAGGACTCTGGGTTTCAGTCAGTTAGTCAGGAGACCAACACCGGACTTACCACCCACCTATCAGTGGAATGGAGGGTGGCTTTTATTTATGTGGTAAAATAAAAGAAACGTGAGAGTATTTGTTCTCTGAGTTGGTAATAAAGCACTTATATGTGGTTACATTAACAGCAATGGATATTTGGATGCTGGGGCACAGGAGACCCCAATTTTTATGGAAGAAAAGATTCTACTTTTAAAAACCAAACAAAAATATGTATACATACGTATGTATTTAATTCCCACATACTTAGGTACAAAACACCAAAAAAGTATTTGGGTAGAACAACTAGAGTATAAGATTAACGTTCCCCAAGGCTACAAAAATAATGGAGAAATTATTAAAACAGTTAATTATATTTAATATCTTAATTTTAATTCCTATGTATATCAGTTATCTAAAATCAACATGGGTTCCACTCAAAGCTAAGAGTAAGAAACTATACAGGGATAGAAGCCAAAAAATTAGGTATAAGCTTCTTCATCATCAGATGGAAGACACTGACCTTTAGAACTTAAAATCCTCATTGTGAACACCAGAATATCATCTCATTTGGCGATATTCTAGAGAGACATTAATATCCCTCTCCAATCTCTTAGCATAACTTGGTACCTTAAGAGACTGGATCATAACAGTAGGTAATTTACATATAGCATTAATCACATGTCATTTTCAGTATTATTAATTACTCACATTGCCTTTATAATTAAATATAGTAAGATTAAACCAAAGAGAAGTAATTTTTAAGTTCTTGCTTAGGGCTGGTGCTCTGTTGAGTCTAGCACAGTGTCTTGCCTGGTGTAGGCATTTCCCTACCCACCTCTCAAATGTTGGTGTTCCACAAGTCCCGAGCCCTTTCTCATCTCTTTTTTTTTAAGATTTTATATATTTGACAGAGAGAGAGACAGCAAGAGAGGGAACACAAGCAGGGGGAGTAGAAGAGGGAGAAGCAGGCTTCCCGCTGAGCAGAGAGCCCGATGTGGGGCTCGATCCCAGGACCCTGGGATCATGACCTGAGCCGAAGGCAGACACTCAACAACTGAGCTACCCAGGCACCCCCCCTTTTCTCATCTCTTATCATTTATCTCAAGTGACTGTATCAACAACTAGGGCTTCATTTACCAAATAGAACTCCCAATAATAAGGGGCTACCATTTGTGGAGCATTAACTATGTGCTAGGCCCTGTGCCTTACAAGCATTAATCGGGTCAACAGTCACAACAACCCTGCCTGCAAGGAAGAAACAGCCCACGTCTCCTCCTAACAATCATCTGGATGCCCAGGTCATAGGTCCCTTAAACTCATTTCCAGACCAGACTTACCTTCACCACAAATCTGCCTTGGTTCCTCCATACCTTCATACAAAACATCACAAGCCAGAAACCTACAAATCACCCTGGACTCCTCCCTCTCCTTTTTTCTCTACTTCCAGTCAAGTTCCAAGTTCTATTATTTTTACTTCCTAAATATCCCTTCATTCCATGCAGACCAGCAGCACCCTAGAGAAGACTCCCATTATTTCTTGCCCAGAGTCCTGCATCAGCTGTCCAACTCATCTCCCTGAATCTGGTCTTTTTTCTGTAATCCCAGTTACTCTACTAACTTAACCCTATGACTCTGGGCACCTGAAATACAGGGGTCTGTAATAATGAGGTCTCTCTCATAGGTTTACGTGAGTTAAATAAGACATAGAGTTTTCTAAGTGTCAGGTAGTTGATAAAAAGTTATGCGGCTGACATATGAATTGAGATAATTTGGTGCTGGAGGCTACGTGCTTAACCACCACCACATATGCCCAGATGAGCCCATCATTATCAGAAAAGTCATGATGAACAGAGACATAAGAAAGGAACACTTACAGTGAAAAGCTTTTGAGAATGGCAATATAAATATACTCCAATTACTCTAAAACTTTGCAGTTTTAACAACAAACACCTATTATGTTGTGGTTTCTGTAGTACCACTTAGCTCAGTGCCTCTGGCTTGAGGCCTTTCATGAGTTGTAGTCAAACTGTCAGCTGGGGTTGCAAACTCATCTGAAAGCTTGACTGGGGCTGAAGGGCTTCCAAGCTTGCTCATGTGCTTCTTGGAGGCCTTCATCCCTTGCCACATGAACCTTTACACAGGGCTGACTCACAATATGGCAGCTGGCTTCCTCCAGGGCAAGTGATCCAAGAGACAAGAAGAGAGGGCCCCCAATATGGAAGCCACAATCTTTTAATAAACTCATCTCAGAAGTAACATCCCACCACTTCTGTCATTCATTGGGAGTGAGTCATTAAATCCAGCCCATACTCAAGGACAGGGGTTTACACAAGGGCACAGACCCACTAAGAGCCAAGCCAGAGGCTGCTTACTATTATCACCCAAGTAGACATCACAGCCCTGGAGGGAGGGGGTGTACTGAGAATAAATGGGGCTCTATCAGCACTTCCTTTAGCCCTCTCTGCTTTTCAGAGTCGAACTGACCATGAACTTCATGTTCTGCAACTTTCTCATCAGTACATAACACTCTTGTCTCTGCCTCCTCCTCACTGCCATCTCTGTCACATGGAGGATATGTGGAGAACCCATAGATTGCTGGGCACTATTATATATCAGACTTTTTACATAAATCTAAAATAGATCAGCATTATAATAGCTACTGGATATATTGTTAAGCATAAATTTAAGTCAGGAAATATAACAATAATTAAAATTTAAACATTATCACAAAGTTCTAAAAATTAAAGCAATGCAAGTTATTTTTAAAAGAACCAAAGCTCTATTGGAGATTTTTAAATAGAATACAAGTTAATAGTAAAAATAATTATTTCATGCTATTCTAACAATATTTCTAAGTAGTATTTTCATTATACTTCAATCTATTGTTACTAGCAAGAGACAGTGAGTATTCTGGGTTGAACTGTGTGCCCAAAAAAATACAGGTTGGAATCCCAACCCCCCAGGATCTCAGAATGTGAGCTTATTTGGTGATAGCATCTTTACAGAGGTAATCAAGTTAAAATGTGGTTATGCGGTTGGACCATAATCTACTATGACTGGAGTTGTCATAACAAGGGGAAATTTGGACACAGAAACAGATATGATAGAGGAAAGACAATGTAAAAAAGATACAAGGAGAAGACAGCTATCTACAAGCCAAGGAGAGGGGCCTGGGACAGAACCTTCTGTGGCAAGCCTCAAAAGGAACCATGAGCCAAGCAGAGCCAGCACCTTGACTTTGGACTTCCAGCCTCCAGAACCATGAGACAATGAATTTCTATTGTTTAAGCCACGAGTCTATGATACTTTGTTACGGCAGCCTATTATAAGGCAAAGAAAGAAAAAATGAGATTTAGCGAGAGAGAGAGAGGCAGAGAGAAATAGAAAAGAAGATATGTCAAGATACATATTCATCTGGATGAGTTGATTTTAACAAGAAATGCACAAGGGCCTACTCCTAAAATCTCATTTAGCATATTTATGGAGCAGAAGCTGACAGATATTTCCAAAAACTGTGTAAATGGAACACAGTGCCAGGTGAAACCAACCAGATTGTCCCTCTACAAGTGGGGTCTGACCTGGTAGGGGCCAACAGTAGGAATCCAGGAGCAAGAGGGGAACCTACCTTCTGGTAGTCTTCTTTCGACCTCAGGGCCACCTCCATGTGCTCAGTAGAGGTTGGATAGATGGCTGAGCGGTACTGAGTGCCATGGTCATTGCCTTGGCGCATGCCTGAGAAAGTGGAAAGCAGAAAGGATTACTGGAGTGGACCAGGTAAAAAGGCCAGTATCACAAGTTCTCTATGATTCATGTGCTGCTAAGTTGCTCGGTTTTGTTTTGTTTTTTTTTTCCAACTGAAGTATGGTTGACACACAACGTTACATTAGTTTCACGTATACAACTTAGTGATTTGACAAGTCTTACCTTATGCTACACTCACCACAAGTGTACCTACCATCTGCCACTGTACAATGCTATTACAACACCTCTGACTATACTCCCTATGCTGTGCCTTTTATTCCTGTGACTTATTCATCCCATAACTGGGAGTTTGTACCTCCAACTCTTCTTCACCCATTTTCACCCATCCCCCACAACCTCTCCCCTCTGGCAACCATCAGTTTGTTCTCTGTATTTATGGGTCTGTTTCTATAATTTGTTTGTTTGTTCATTTGTTTTGTTTTTTTTAGATTCCACAAACATGAGAATTTGTTTTTCTCTGTTTTACTTATTTCACTTAGCATAATATCCCCTAGGTCTATCCATGTTGTCACAAATGGCAAGATTTCATTCTTTTTTATAGCTGAGTAATATTCTGTATATGTACACCACAGTTCCTTTATCCATTCATCCATCAATGGACATTTAACATTGCTTCCATATCTTGCTTATTATGAATAATGCTGCAATAAACACAAGGGTACATATATTACTAAGTGCTTGTTTTAATTTCATCTTGACACCACTCTCCTTAAACAAGCACAAAATATATGTTTCACTTTGCTTATTTTAATTACAACAGATGTTTGAACTTATGTAAATTTATCATAGGTCTTAGATCACAGTAGATGCTCTACAATATGTATTTTTCTATGCAGATATTTAAATCACAACCTATTCCATTTTTCACTTGCAAAGCACTGTGTTGTACACTATTTCGTGGGATCTTAGTGAGATAACGTGTATGGCAGTTACCGTGGTCCCTCACTTGGCAAATAAGGAGATGGGCTTACGTATGTGTAAGCACCTGGCATACTGCTTGGCACATAGGAGGTGCCTATAAATGACTAAATAGCTGGTATTCAGTGAGTTTGAAGAGCTTGCTTAAGGTCATCCACACAATTAAGGGAAAACCTGAGCCTTAAAGTTAGCCCACCCCATTTTCCACTGTGTCACAGCTGCTAACATATAGATCCCAATCAATTTCTAAGTGAATAATTTAGTCCCCAAAGTTAAACAGCCACAGGCTGAATATAGATCTCCTATAGATCTTCATGCTGTGGTCAAATGAACCTCGCATGCATTTACTGCATCATTCAAGAATCCACTTCAGTTTTGTTTTTATTAACATATAATGTATTATTTGTTTCAGGGGTACAGGTCTGTGATTCAACAGTCTTGCACACTTCACAGTGCTCATCATAGCACATACCCTCCCCAATGCCCATCACCCAGCCAACCCATCCCTCGCACCCCCCTCCACTTGAGCAACCCTCAGTTTGTTTCCTGAGATTAAGAGTCTCTTATGGTTTGTCTCCCTCTCTGGTTTCATCTTGTTTCATTTTTCCCTCCCTTCCCTTACGATCCCCTGTCTTGTTTCTCAAAGTTGTCATATCAGTGAGATCATACGATGCTTGTCTTTCTCTCTCTCCGACTGACTTATTTCACTTAGGATAATACCCTCTAGTTCCAACCACGACATTGCAAATGGCAAGATTTCATTTTTTTCATGGCTGCATAAAATTCATATATATATATGTGTGCATATATGTGTATATATATATATATGACACATCTTCTTTATCCATTCATCTGTTGATGGATATCTAGGCTCTTTCCAAAGTTTGGCTATTATGCACATTGCTGCTATAAACATTGGGGCGCATGTGACTCTTCGGATCACTACATTTGTATCCATGGGGTAAATACCC